AATTGAAGAGCCTGAGTGGTACAAAATCATAAATCCAATTTTTTCGGACACCCATGGTAACCTGGAAATTGCTTCCAAAGCAAGAGATGTTTTGTCTCATGAGGATTCAGACACAGACAGTGACGAAGAGCAGACAGAAACAAGTCATAGCAGTTATCAGGAAGATGATGGTGAGGAAGAGTTAACCTCCGCAAGTGAGAGTGGAACCGAAGGTGTTAAAAGGAAAGTTTTAAAAAATTCATTGGACGTAAAACCATTAGGTCGTAACAAACGAGTAAGAAGTCAGTCCCAGGCCATAAATGAGATCGCAAAGAGTTTTCACGCACTTGGAGAATCACAGCAAAAGCGTTGTGAAAAGATGATGGAAGCAGAAAAAGAAAGGCATGCTGAATTTCTTGCTTTTCAGAAAGAGCAAGCCGAATTGAATAGGCAGCATGAGCTAAAGATGCTTCAAATCATCATGAAATATTCAAATCCTCCACCCCAAGGAGCACAGCAGCATCTCCAACAACAAACAATGCCTGTGCAGCCTCTTGTACCTTATTACAATCCAATGCCATATAGCCATACCCCTCCAACCAATCAAGTGGCAAGTGGTAGCCAAGATAGCCACATTTTAGACATGGATAGCCAGAATGATCAAAGATCCATGCGTTGGTATTAGCAAGAGTTCCATTAAGGGTGGGGGACTCATGTTTATGGAGGAGTTGGTGGTGGACTTTTCTTTTCTATAGACAGGGTCCTCTATCACACTTATCTTTATTGAGCAATACTGTGAATTTAAGGGGGCATGAGCTTCCCTCTTGCGTTTTGAAACCTCAGACATGTTATTACAGGCAGTTGTGTTTACTTGTAATCCATTTATTGTCAGTTGTGATAAAGGTACCAAAATGTAACCAGTGATCCAGACACTAACATCATTACTGTTCTGTAATTGAAACAAACCATTGTTACAAAGTTTAACGGAACTACAACTTTATAACACTTCTATAGAATTGGATGTATTGGTTAGGGACTGGTCATTATTTATGTAAAGGGTGGGGGAGGGAATTTTTTTAAGCAATAAGTTTTATTCTTGACCCACCCCTGAAAATTTTTCATTTACTTTTTGACTCACCCCTCAAATAAATGTTATTTTTTAGGCTATGACTCCCCCCCCCACCCCCTGCCCCAGTATGCCCTCTATGAGGATGAGGTTAACAAGAAGTTCCAACAACAAATAAACAAGAAAACAGCAGCAAAAATACTTGTTATTCTTTGAAACTAAGGCTGTTTTGCTTTGGACTGTCATGAATTGGTTGGAAATACCATTGAAAGACTTGAAATGATGTAAAAACTTATGTCAAGTAGGTAAAAATACCAGTTCAAGTCTTTCATCATAATATTTCAAGCCAATAATTCATATCAGACTGTTAAGCAGTCTCAAGCTTTTAACCAACCTCGGTTTTTGAGAATGACAATTAAGTATTTCTTTTGTGCTGTTTTTGTTTAGTTGATATAAGAACTTCATGTTCATTTTTGTTGTTGTTGTTTGTCCTCCTATTTTTGCCTTAATACATGTCATTTTATACTGCCTTCAAGAATAATCCATCCCCTTTCATATAAAAAAATAAACCTGACCCCCCTCCCTATGATTTTGTCCTACTCCCCCCTTTTTACCAGTTTATCTAGTTGTTTGGTTGCTTTAGCAAAGAGTATTTTACTTCCAGATTACTTAAAATAACTTGAAATAGCAGTAATTTTTACATTAATGGATGAAAGGAAAGCAAAACTTCTGGTTCATACTTAATGTATCAACAAATATTATTTCCTATATCTATTGTGAAGGGAAAATGTTTGAAAAATATTTTGAATATCAAATTTGAATCTATTTACATGTAACAAAACCTGTTTTCCATCAAATCTGCTAAGGATCAAGTAAAGTTCAGTTTCTCAGTTTTTGCCTTTGTTATTAATTTGAATACAGAATCAAGGGGCTGCATTTCTTTCCTCTCTGATATCCCACAACCAATTGGCAACGGCTTCTCTTGTTGTATTTCCATCATCAGCTTGGGCATCTCCATTTCGAATCAGATTGAGTTCATTGACCTGAAGTCTCCACCTGGGGTTACAGGGATCACTTCGGTGGATGCAAAGATTATGGAGAGCAATGCAGGTCATGATGATGAGGGAAATGTTGTCTAAATGACATTCTGTCTTTTTGTAGAGAATTCTCCACCGCCCCTTTAACATTCCATAAGCATGTTCAGAAACTACCCTTGCAGAGCAAAGTCTCCTGTTAAAATACCTTTGCTTAGGTACCCTTGTCCCATCTTTGTATGGTTTTAGAAGCCAGGAATGGTTGGGAAAGGCTGAATCACCCACAGTGGTAAACGGAATCTCCCCATGAGGGTCAAGATTCAAAGACCTGTTAGGAAGCACGTGACCAGATTCGATGTCAGAATAAATACCACAACTTCTTAAAAGCCTAGAGTCATGTGTGGATCCTGGGGCACCCACTGCAGCCCACATAAAACGCTTGTTATAACCAATGAATCCCATGTTTGTAACTGAATACCTCTTCTTGTAACTGTAAAAGTTCTTAAGTTTAGTGCTTACGTAAACATGAAACCCATCCCACGCCCCAACACAAGGAAACTCCCAATTTCCCAGAAAATTTTCCAGTTCTTGACTCCACTCTTGTAGATTTCTTGGCAGGTAAACGAATCTGTCATACAAACATCCCACAATGGCCTTACAAACGTCTTGGAAAATGATGTGAGCAGTTGATTCTGCAACCCCAAAGAGATCTCCAACGGTCAAAAACGTGCACCCGTGTGCTAGTCTGTATAGACATAAAGCCAACTGGGTAGCAGGCGGAGTAGGGTGAGGCTTCATGCGAGTGGGCTCCTTCACGATAAGGTCTTTAATTTCGCTTAGAATAAATTCAAAAGTGTCTCGAGACACCCTTAACCTTTTCTTGAAAGATTCTTCATCCCAGTTTTGATATCCGTCTGTCCACCAATTTCCGTTCCTCAACTCATCAGGACCACGCTCGTTTCTGTCGCTTTTTGTAATCACGATTGCTGACATAACAGCGGGCTGTGAAGCTTCAGTTTCGAACTCCATCTCCCTACGAAAACGTTTCTTTGCCATTTCTTCCTTTAACCTATATTGGTCACCTAAAAACTCTTGTTCTGCCTTTCTCTTACGGGAAAAAAATTTGAGAAGTTCAAGCGCGGCCGCCATCTTTAAATTTTACCGCCAAACAAGGCACACTAGTGCCCATTCTTTTTTTTTTTCGCCGCGCGGAATATCTCGTTCGTCTTTCGTAGTTCGTCTTGTTATTCGTCCCGTCTTTACACTAGACGCATACCACAAGAGACGCATTATCCGTCTGGACGGATAATGCGTCCTCTAGCATAAAAACGGCCAATGTTTAATTGTACCCTCTCCACCCCCTTGTTTGTATATCGGAGCATGCGTGTTGCGATGTTAATAATTAAAACAACTTGTTGGATTCCTTTCAAAGGTGTTCTTTACTGTTTGTGTCAAATCCGTAAATGCACTACATTTTGGCGACGAGGACGGTCGTAAGTAGCTTTTGTTCGAGATGTCAAGTGTATATTTAAGCGATATACAGTTTTTAAAGCCATTTGACTGCCCTGAAACTGCTGGTATCTCCGCACGCTGGGAAAGATGACTGCGAGCTTTTGAGTGGTTTGCAAAGGGAAGAGGAGTTCGAAATGTCGATCAGAAGAAGGCGTTATTGCTGCATACTGCTGGATTAGATGTTCAAGATATTTATTTCATGTTAAACGAAGAAGGAGGGTCGGATAACTACCAGAAAGCGACGGCGACGTTAAATAAATATTTCAAACCGTAAGCGTAAGCGAATGTTCCGTACGAAAGGCTTTGTTTTCGTGAAACTAACAAAACCGTCAAACAGTTTGTGACCAGATTGAGACAGAAAGCCCAAACCTGTGAATTTGGAGACGCAAACGCTGTAGAGTAGTAAATTCGTGATCAAGCTATTAGTAAGTTTGTCACACGAACTTCGTCGAAAGTTACTTCAGAAGAGTTAAGCCTTGACTCTGCCACAATTGAGAGAAATTGCCCGTGCTATGGAAGAGTCTGAGTAACAGGCCCGTTCGATTGAAGGAGCAAGCAATGCAAGTAACAGGGTTAATGGTATGGGTGGAAAGGTGGATCACAGAGGAGGCCCGAGCACAAGGAATGTTAAATGTTTTTGTTGTGGAAATGTGGGACATAAAGCTAACGATCACTGATGCTCAGCTAGAGGGAAACAGTGCAGAAAATGTAATGGGACTGAACATCGATATGCGACATTTAACTGTCTTCTGCCGCTTTTTGCGCCGAAATTGTGCAAAGGTTGCGAACATTGTAAGTCCGCTCCACGCGCTTTTTTTTGGGGCAAGATCAAAGTGGGAAAGATGGGCCCATCCTACCCACTCAGGCAGCCAATCAGGAAACAGGATTCGCTTCGTATTTCCCAGGGGCGCCGCCAGCTATATAATAAATACGGTTATTAACCAGTTATAGTCGCCTTTTAAACCCTGATGAAAAACCATATTTATCAGTTTAATTTTTATCGAGGGGCATAATTGTGAATAAACCAGTACGCAGAGCCTCATAAGCATCTGCAAGCAACTCTCGGAGACCTTAAGGCGAAAACTTACACTCAAATCCATTTTTGAAACCCTAACCTCTATTTAACTTGTTCATTCGTTCCTTTAAATTCGGAGATACGCGAAGACCCTCCCAAACCAGCACTAACCTTTTGCCCCTCAAGGTGACCGGTTTCTGATTTCTCTTTACGATTTCACCCTTGAATCAAACATTAAGGTCATGAGAATAAAGGAAATGATCACCAATTTGAGAAGCTCCTGATTGTCAATAAAATTCTCCTTTTCAGTGCCATATGAAATGGAAAGAGAGAAGTCAGGAGAATATGAATATTGATACTAAGGTATAAAGGGTTAAATAAATACGCAAACACCGAACTTTGCTCCTTTATAATCCTTTCTTTGCTTCTTTTGCCATTTCTTTATCATTAGAATTATTAAGTATTGTTACAAAATCGAGTCTGTGCTATGTTTCTTACTAAAGCTTAACAAATTAAGACACTTTCTTCTTTACATTCCCCATATCATTGGAGCGTTGACCTTTATTTCTTCCGAATGTTGTAAGGTAGGCCTGAAGTGTGAGAGAATTGATCAAAATTAGAGATCGATATGGAACTGGAAATTTATGAAGAAAATAAAATTTAAGTTAGCACAGGTTTCATTCATATTTTCTCATACCGTTCTGACGTGGACCTTTACTTCCTCCTAAGTAGTTCACCTGTGGGTCTGAAATATGAAAAAAAATCGCTAGCGTGAGGGACTCGGACCTGAAAAGTGTGGCTCTCTTTAAAAAGCTTAAATGCCTAAAAAAGGACTCAATTTCCGTTGCCAATTATCAGTGCGCCCAACCATAAGAAGGGGTCTTACTTATCTAAACCCCTGATTTCTTGTTTTTATCACGAAATTGCCAGCCATTACCAGAATATTGGGTGCATGAATGAAAGGATGGATTAGTAGATGAATGGAAAGATTTATGGATGGATGGATAGATAAACAACGGGGGTGGGGTTAGGGGAGTTTTAAAGAGTGATGCACCACACTCCCAAAACTGCCCGCGGCGCGCTAACTTCATTTTTTTGTCTCACTGAAATTTTTGGACTCGCTCAACGGACTTCGTCGCAAGGAGGGATTGTTTATAGCCTACAAAAACAACAACAACCATTTTTACCAAATTTCTTTCGATAATTCGGTCGGCCATTGTTCCTCCCCAATCCGCCACTGATGCCCACAATCGATCTGCCATTGTTACGCTGATAACTACCACTGATGCCCACACTCGATCTGCCATTGTTATGCTGATAACTACCACTGACGCCCCAATTGCCTCGATGATAACTACCACTGATGCCCCAACCTCGTTTACCACTGATGCCCCAACCTCGTTTACCATTGATGCCCCAATCCTGTTGACTATTTTTTTGTCCTCCGCTGACACTGGCATCCATTGATGACCGACCAACATTGCTGTCCTCACTACTTTGTCGAGCGAAACGGGTTTCTGCAAAGGTAATTGATAACGTTTGAAATTGTTATTGCTCCATTTTTAATTTTTGAAAATAACTAATTTGAACTGATATCTAACAACAGCTAATTACTGATGTAGCAGTATTGGTTAATAGTTGTCTCTTCTGGCCCGCGCGAGTTACGCACAATTTTTGGAGCACTGATATCTATGCGTCAAACTCACACCGTTGCAGTGCTTTTAGAGAGAAGGTTTATCTCAGCTACATTCATAGATCCAATTTTTCTTCTGCAAATCAAGAAGAATTGAAAACTGCACTTAAACGACATGTGAGTGTGTGAGGGGGGGGGGGGGAAAGGGGGGGGGAAAGGGGGGTATCTTTGTTCAACTTTGACTTTAAAAAAATCTGCTCAGTGTCAGAAAAAAAGTTGAAATGAACTTACCAGTCGTGAGTATCTTCGGTAGGATCCTGCGATCACCAGCATCTAGTACACTAGGACCCAGAACCTTTAAATTAAAATGGTCTTGTCAATGTTAGTGGTAATGATAAACAACGATTTAGTGATATCATCTAAAAGCTATCGACACTAAGAAAGACTTAAAGCGAAGATGTCTTGATTGAGTATCATGGAACAACAACAAGAACAAAAAAGGAAATCAAAATAAATAACACAACACAATACAATGAAAACTCGAGGTATAAACAGATAAACTGTCTAATGCGGGAATAAACGGGAAATAATCAAGTTGTGATTGGTTTTAGTTTTGCATTTGATTGGCTGATAGATTGTCGTAAATGTCTTAGACCACACACAAGGAGAAGCGAAGCAAAGCTAATGCAGTCCCCGAATAAAGACGGTAATTTTCTAAAGAATCTGTGTTGCTGCGTTGGTGAGGGATATCACATGATTAATTGGTTTTATGGAAATCGATCTCCATAAAGAGTTTCTAAAGCTGAAGTTTCGAGTGTTAGCTCTTCGTCAGAGTCGGTACAATCCCTGATTACTTTCGACAACCAAGTTGCCATTTAAACCGCAATGCTTTTTGATTGATTCAGTTTACATCATAAAATAAAAGGCCAAAAATTAATCAATAGTTTTTTTTAGACCCGTTGAAATAAAATAAGACACTTCTGCATTATTTCTGACATTGCATGAAATGTAAAAATAAATGTCGCTAACGCTATAAACGTGATAGCTCATCTGAAACACACGAAGCTCTTGTGGTAGTACATTACCTTCGTTTTCAGCGCGGCGTTTTCCTCATTTTCCAAGGAAAATGAATTCGCCACCGCCAGAGTAACCAGCAGCACAACAAAGCGCTTCATATTCTGTTTATGAAAACTAAAATCATAATAAAACACGTCAGATGAGTAATCACTTTAATTTTTTTTTGAGAGGGCACGGTAACGAATCCTGCAATCTGATTGGTTCTTTACCCGGTCAGTATTTTCCTATCTCTGCCCACGGGCAACGGTAACGCTTTCGTGAGTCGCCGAGTACATCCCTTCATTCGTTGCTATTTTTCATAAATATATCTCGTTTTACCGGCTGGGCAGTATTTTTAAGCAAAGAAGTCGGTCACTACCTCAAGCCGATAAATAACTTCTTAATCCTCTCTTTTCTCTCTCTCAAGTCACTTTGGTCGACTGAAAAATTTTCGTTTCAGAATGACTTTTTTGTATAAGCAATAATGTCATTACGTCGGTTGAAAGGCGGCCTAAAAACCGTCTGCAATTGATTTTAATCGTTCACAAAAAGTACCTAGAGAGTTAAAACGTAAGATATTTGGCTACAGTTGAACTGATCGATGGAACTTTCATTCATTTAATATCTGAATTTTCTCAAACAATTTGTTCGTAGTGAAAAGGCGTGCGAAGTTTTAATTTCAGTTCTGCAACAAATATACGCTCTTGGTGAGTCTTTTCAAGTCCGTTCAATTCGGACATTTATATCGTAAATTGCACAACAGAAACTTAAGGAATTAAATGAGAAAAGGCCACATGAAATCCCCTTGTGTCTCTTTGGAGTATATCATCCGAATTTAGTTTTTGCGGAGGAAAGACCAGATTTTCACACGCCATTGCAGCAAACAAACGAGCAAACTCTCACAACTTCAACACAAAAAATTTGAATTTACTTACAATTACTTTCCTCGCCGATTACTTAATGAAAAAAGGTAAATCTTCGTACATAAATTAATCGTCGATGAGAGTGAATAATACTTTCCGTAAGATCATTGACTGTTTAAGAAGAAAACATCGTGGCGATAGTCCTTGCCAAACTAGTTTCGTTGTTTTTTAAAAATTTACATGCGCTTTTTTCTTTTCTTACGCGCTCTCTAATTGACAATTGTCAGATTGTGACAGATACTTGTATAATAACGTTTCAAAGTTTGTTTGGAAGCCTTTTAAATCACTTTTATCATTACGCAAATGAAAATGTTCTCCCCCACCGTTCAGTTTATGGAAGATTTTGCTGTATTTACAGTCCTAAATCATTCGGGTTCTTTCGGAATGAATTTCGTCAAGTTTAAAAAAAACAAATATGTCATTTACCGGCTAAGGGTCGGTCCGTATGGTGAAAAACTGTGACCTCGGCCTTGAAAATGCTGCCCTCGGCCTACGGTCTGGGGCAGCATTTTCAAGACCTCGGTCACAGTTTTTCACCATAAGGACCTCCCAGGCGGCAAATAACATATGTTTATTTCTGGGTACTTGGCCTTGAGCAAGAGCAGATCCAGTAGTTACCTTACCTTGAGATGAATTGTGGACGCTGTTCTCCCGCTTCGTAAGAGCACGGAGTGAATATGGATATTGCTATACACGTATCTAATCTTTTATAACAGACAATCACTACTAATTAGCACAATTAATGCCTGATGGTATCTAATAGTTTCGTACCGAGGGAAGTTTCGTACTCAGACGATTCGAACCTAACTTAAAATTCGTAACCAGCGAAGATAAATATTGATTGTGCAGGTAAATCAAGTTTGTAAAATAATGAGGCAGCATATACATGCATATCATTTATTTACACCCGAATTTCAGAGTAGCCACGTGAAACTAGCTTATATTTTAGAGATATAATAATAAAATAATTAAAAAACGTTATCAAAAACGAAACAATGTGAAGAAAAAAATATTTATATGCATATGTATTTACAAATATAAAAGACTGATGGTTATTCACCCATTTTCAAAAAAGCTTCAATTAGAAATATAAAGCCTTCTTGGCATACTTACTTTGAATTTGAACAGAATTTAGCAGCAATTAGCAATTCTATCTTTATTCGAAGCCGCATCAATGAAATAGCGCCGACATTGTCTTTTCTTTCAGTTCAAGTCAAATTTTTTCTAACAAAATCACAGCTTACGAAACCGGAAGAAATTCAGTTCCAACGGAAGTTTCATTACCCATGTTTTGTTTGATGGGGGAAAAAAAGGTTTTTTTTGGAGAACTTGAATGTGACAAATTAATATTTAAAATAAAATTGGAGCAGAGAAGCAAATCCGAATAATGGAAAAATCTGGATGATCGAGGATGTTAGTATAGGTACGAATTGAATGAGTACGAAACGTCCGAGGGTACAAAACCACTCAAAGCCGCTAGATCATTCCACGTTTTAACTTCTCATGAAGGAAATTGCATCGTGTCTCAAAGGAAGGAAAAAAAAAACAATCTCTGTAAATGTTAATTGTGGATTCGTAAGTATTTAAGTATTTTGTTTTTATGCAACAGTTGAGAGCGCTCGACATTCGATTCATTCTTTGCGACTTGTCTGTTGATATGTGATCCCCCAGTAAACTGTTTTAGGATCTCCTTGAAAGTAATTTTTGAATTTAGTTTTTGGGCATCAAACTATATCGTAATTCAAGACGATTGAATTCAGGTTTTTTATCCTATATCAAGACCTCATCAGTTAGCTTTGCAACCACTAATCTATGGGCGAAGCTTGAAAAATCATACAACAAAAATAGAGGTGAATATGAAAGCGATCTTCGCAGTAATGAATACTACTTAGGCAAGTTGTAAAATAAGGTCTGAGGAACAAAAAATTCAGGACTATACAGGATTTGAACTCATGGCCTCTGCGATACCGATTCAGTGCCCTACGAACTGAGCTAACAAGCTAAGTTTCTGATGAAGGCATCGCTCTCTTGAATTTCTGTGATGTTTTTGCACGAGCCCGCAAGGGAAGTGAAATTTGTTGTCTTTGAAAAATTGCATATTGCACCAACTTGCAAGAGAAATCATGTTATTACTTGTTAATAATCCACATGAAAAATCTTCATAGAAAGTCAAGACATGTACAGTCGAAATTTTGAAAGAGTGCGCGCGCTATTTGTAATTTGCACTCGTATTACAACTTTGCACTCGTAAAGAGAATGAGAATGCATTCGTTTTCAGCCAATTAGAAGTGCGCGTTCATGTACTATATCAAGCGAGAAATTGGCCTTCAAATTTTATTTTAAAACTATAATCTCTGTTTAACTTTTTGACCTCTCCTCCCGATACCAAGCTCGATAAGACTCTCCCTCTAAAGAGCACAAAATAACTACGCAAACATTGAGCTACGCTCCATTTCAATCT